CTCCTCCCCCCTGCCCGACATCCAATAAATGTTATTCTTATATGTGCACTTATGTGTTGATCAGTTAATACTGCTCGAAGCCTTTATTCATACTGTTACTTTCTTTACTCTCTATTGATGACTTCTGTGATTACTGAGATGAAGGCTTCCTGATGAGAGCTTGCTCATTTTCTTTTCTTAAAATTGTTTGGTAGACAGCGAGGGATTCTGGGTCTTCTAGGGACAAAAGTGGGTGCTGTTGCCCCACCTGGGAAGGACAAGGGTGGGCCCCAGTCCCCTGTCTTGGTCCGGCCTCAACTTAATGCTGTCTGCAGCAACTGCTATACCTGGGGTAGGAGGGAATACCCTATGAATCTGACAATCAAAACTTGGTGTGCCAGCTGCAAAAGAATGCAGAGGACTCTCTAGCCCATGGGCCAAGCAGCACAGGTACCATAAAGTCCAGTAAGTGACCTAGAACCCACATGCACTGTAAAACTCAGGTCATGCAGCTCCCAACTGTCCAGAGTAGTTCCATGGTGACGTTTGAATCACAGAGAAGTCGCTATCCAGGCACCATAAAACTAGACCCAGACCATAACCAAGCTCCCTTTTTCTGCTGTGACAAGGGGTCTGATTGTCATCTGTGGTGTATGTATCTCACTTTGTAAACCTGTGTCTTGCTTTTGTTATATAATCCTATCTTGTTCCCCCTGAATAAACTTCACCTCATGCTTGCCTTACTTTGGTGCATCTCGTCATTCTTCTGCCATGAGCACGCTAAGAATCGACATTTCGTACTAAACCTGACAAAATCAGAAATTTTCTCTTTGCCATTTTATATTCTTCTCTTCTTTCCTTCAAGGCCATTTTCTTCTACTTTGTCCCTTTATCTCATTTTCTCCTGTTGACTTTTGTCTTCTTATCTATTAACATTTTTGTGTCTTAGATTATCAGTTTTCCCTTCTACAGTAAATTAGACCTTTCCCTAAACCTTCAGTTATGAACAGATAAGCCCCTTGCCTCAAAATATTATACTGTCTCGGTTCCCTCCCATCTTCTCTATGTCAGCCTTTTTGGAAGAAAAGCAATGGCTTAACTCCATCAGTAGCTATGTCTTAATTTCTTACAATCTGCTTTAGGTTCCAAAGTTTTACTGGACTCTTGGACTGACAGGTCACATGACTCCTAGGTCTTAAATGGATAGATCTCTTCCAAACTCTGCAGTATTTGATAGTAATAATAATAACAACTATCCTTCCCTTTAAAAAATTTTCTGATTTTGCTTTTTAGTCACTTCTTCTTTAAGGTCTCACTGTTCTGACTACTTCTTGTTCACGTAATGCTTTAATCCCTCTGCTTTTTCTTAAAGTTTGAAATGCTTTTCCACTATCTAAATCTGGGCTAATATGGGAGCCACTACTCACAAATGCCTATTGAACACTTAAAATATGGCCTGTTCAAACTGATATATTCTATAAGTATAAAATATGCACTGGATTTTCAGTATTTAGGATGAGAAAGATAATGTAAAATATCTCACTAAAGTTTTAAAAATATTGATTACATGTTGATAATACTTTGGCTATACTGGGTTAAGTGAAAAAATTGCTAAAATTAATTTGACCTGTTTCTCTTTACTTTAAATTTGGTTACTACATTTGTGGCTTGGTTATATTTCTGTTAGACAATACTGATACAAATCTCATCTTTCCTTAAAGACCTGGATCAATTTTCCATCTACTAATATATATTTCCCTTGTGAATTATATTAATAGCTATAGTCTTCTTGATCATTTACTCCCCACCCCCTCTCCCACTCCTCAATTAGATTCTAAGCTTCTTCAAAGTCAGGGTAATTCCTCAGGGTGCCTTTCATATCGCGGACACTATGTATATTATACACACACAAATATCCGAAAAAATGGCTTGGCTGTTATTTAATATTATCACTTTATCAAAGAGGATACATAACAGAAATTGATGACTGTTATGGTGCTTTTGCTTAAATTGGTGGACAGTAGGCGGGATTGATGTGAAGGGGAGAAGAGATTACTTTACCTTGAGCTATTAACATCTGACATGTGCGTCGGTATCCAGCCACCCCAGCCCATCTGATATTATGAACTGCTGTGATTGTACTGCCATCTGGTGTCAGGATTAGGAAACTGTAGTTCAGCATTTTATCTTTCTTTTCAATGGAAGAATGCAGGCAGTCTTTCCTCTGAAAGTGGGCCTGCTCTTCCCTATCCTCTAAGCAAGTTAAAAAGAGCTCATTTAGGCCAGGCGCGGTGGCTCACGCCTGTAATCCTAGCTCTCTGGGAGGCCGAGGCGGGCAGATTGTTTGAGCTCAGGAGTTCGAGACCAGCCTGAGCAAGAG